GACACCCATCACCCCCCCACCCACTCACGCTGGCAGGGCCCCGGTTTCCTCCGTGTGGCCTGGCTCCACCAGAGAGACAGGAGAGCGGCACCCCTCGCCCACCGGCCCTGCTCTGGGCGCGCTGCTGGAGCCCGGTTGGGTGCACGCCACCCCTGGGAGGTGGCACAGACCGAGGTGGCAGGGAGGTGACGCAGCCCCTTGGCCAGCCTTCTCCGCGGCCCTCCTGTGACGCCCAAGCCGCTGTGCCAGGCGGGGTCCCCGCGGTGGCTGCCAACACGGAGGCACTTGTAAAAACGGTTGGGTCTGGGCAGCGCTGGGCTGCCTCTTGACCCTGACCTCCTTGTGTCCCCCTCAGAAGCAGGCTAGGAAACCCCTGTGCCTTCTCTGCACAAATCCTGACCAGGGATCTGGGAGGGAATAGTCCTAAAAGATCACGCCCCTGGCAGAGGAGCCTGCCTTCTCTGCACTCCAGAGACATGCTGCTGCTCTCGACAGGCCAGAGAGTCAGACCTCAGGTGCTGATATTTGGAATACTATCTAATTACATGGTTACTGATGGCGATCTTCTCTGCCCACGTTTGGAGATGGGTATGAAGAAATCCACCCTGTGGCCCTTGCTCAGCCCAACGTGACGCCATGTTTGCAGTGGGGGAAGCCTTGTCCTGGCTGCTGTTAGAAGCAGTATCAGTCCCCGCAGGCATGAGCTGCCAGTGCATCTGACTTGCTCTGAGCAAAGATCTTGGGTGGGAGGGGGCTGGCTTGCTCTGCAAGAGGCACTTTGTCTCTGACTAACCCATGTCCTCTCCTACCAGCTGCCTAGTGACTGCCCCCCACTCCTTATCTGACACAGCTGGAGCCCTCTGGTCCCTGGAAATCACAGAATCACAGAATGGCCAAGGTTAGAAGGGACCTCTGGAGATCATCTAGTCCAACCTCCCTGCTCAAGCAGTTTGCCCAGGATTGTGTCCAGATGACTTTTGAATATCTCCAGGGAAGGAGACTCCACAACCTCTCCGGGAAACCTGTTCCAGTGATCTGTCACCCTCACAGTCAAGACGTTTTTCCTCATGTTCAGATGGAACGTCCTGTGTTTCACTTTGTGCCCATTGCCTCTTGTCCTGTTGCTGGGAACCACGGAGAAGAGACTGGCCTCAACCTCTTGACACCCTCCCTTCAGATACTTGTACACGTTGATGAGATCGCCTCTCAGTCTTCTCTTCTCCAGGCTGAACAGTCCCAGCTCTTGCAGCCTTTCTTCAGAGGAGAGATGCTCCAGTCCCCTCATCATCTTGGTAGCCCTCCGCTGGACTCTCTCCAGGAGTGCCATGTCTCTCTTGGACTGGGGAGCCCAG